AAATAAACAAATTTGAATGCATTCAAAAGCACATTTCAAATTCCTATTTAAATCTCCAAAAATTTCTACTGTACAAGTCAAGAACATATTTTTCCTAAATACTACACTTCCTAAGGAACACTCACAAATTTATTTCACAAATTTAGGAGCTACCAAACTGAAGATACAAAAATCACAAATCACACTTGAATCTGGAATTTTTGAACTAGCCCTCAACACTGCTGTCGCTGACCAGTGGGACCCGCTGGTCAGGTGACCCCACGCGTCATCGACTCGAAACAGGGTAGGCGGCGCTGCTTCGTCACTGCGCGGCCAAGTTCACCGACGGCGAGCTTTACCGGCGACGGCACCTAGTCTACGGTGACCCTCTAGACCTTGCGCACCCATTGGGCTATCTAGGCGGGCGAATCATCGACGCGAAGGATGATGGCGTCGGCCATGGCGGCACGACGGTGCTGCACGGCGTGTGCCGGCCATCTCCGGCCACAGCGAGGCCAAGCAAGGCGAGCAACAGGACCACGGCGACCATGCAAACCGAACTACATGACCTAGGAAGCTTGAGGCGCTCCGACGAAGTACGGCCACGGCAACGGCCATGGCGGCACTCCGGCGAGAGTGTTCCCGCGGCGGCGCAAAGCGAGCAGCGGCTCACCTAAGGCACGATCTCGGGCGAGGCAAGGTGGAAACGATGGGGAAGGTTGAGGCGAAGCCGAGAGAGCGACTAATTGGCGGATGCCGCGGTGGCTAGCGCAGGCGAGCTCGGCGGAGCGTCTGCAATGGCGACGGCGAGGTAGGACGAGCACGGCTGATGCTACGGCGAGCAAGGAGGAGGCGAAATGCGAAAAAAGGAGGCACGGGCAGGAGCGGGCGGTGCTGGCGGTGTTAAAGCCGCGCTCAGGCGCGTCGTGGCCTGACCGGACAGAGCAATGGCGACACGCGGCCATCGCCACGGACACGCGGCGCGCAAGCTCTGCCGGTGGTTGGCCACTGAACGGCTCGCTTCGTTCGTCAGTGACCCGATGTGATGCCTGACAACGGGTTTTTCCGTGACTAAAACTTCGTGACCGTGGACTTTCAGCGAAAATTTCGTACATCAAAGTTGAAGCCTAATGTACCAGCTACAACTCTTGTTCAATAATCGTGTTCCAATTCTCAACCGAATTCAAGTTATATCGCCATGAAGGTCAGCTTGTCAGGCTGTTCAATGAACCAAGACTTAGCATTTCGTTAAGTGTTGAAAACAGTTATTCGTTGATTTTTGTGATCCCAATTCAAGCATGTTAGGAGCTGAATCAGTTAGTGACCCAAAAATAAAAGTTGTTCCTTATGTCAAACACTACAACTTTGCTTTAGTGAACTCCTCCATGCAAGGTCTCTAACATCTAGTTCAACTTTAGTCAAACATGTCACTTTTAAATGATGAAACACATCGAAGCATGGCTTAATGACCAAACTAGCCCTAGCCCTAAATACCAAAGTTGTTCATGATGATATCCTAAGCATGTTTAAGCAATTTGCAAGGTCATTCAATCCTTTCATGTAGTAGTCACTCATAGGGCCATTTAAAGTAATCATGAGAAACATGACTTAAAGGCTTGATTATGAAAAGTGACTTTCATGAACAATGCTCTAATTGCTAACCCAAGTGTGGTTACATGTTTTTGGTGACTCACATCTACCAAGTACATGTTTTCATTCATGATCATTTGCATATGTACAAAGAAACATGCGATAACAAGCAAATGTTGCAGACGTTTCAATCAAATGTTTCAATTGTAAATGCTTGTTTATGAATGCGTGATGATCATGCTTATGTTATGCAAGTCAAGTTATGCAAGGCTAACACTCGAGGTGTTACAATCTAACATCAACAGCTAGATTTTAGCATAAAAATAATCGACAGACGATAGATCGAAAGATGAAGACCGAGGAATATTTAATCTAGATCGAGCAATTGGTGATATTATGCTGAATAATAAACTATTTCACGCAATATCGATAACCAATCCATATCAAAATTTGTATGAGATCGAGCTAGACCTATGCAACCGTATAAATTTTGATAAGAATCAAAGGGTAACTTGTATCAGTAATTGTAAGAGATACTAGCTGGACCGATGCAGCCTTACAATAACTTATGATAACTAACTTATACAAAGCTTGCAAGAGGTCAGACGTAACTGATGCAACCTTCCAAATAAAGTATAAGTCATGACGGATACTCACAAACAAACCAGAGGTTGGATATAACTGACGGCAGCCCTGCTTGCTCGAAGAACTCACCGAGATCTACTCTACTCCTACTCCTAAGGGTGGCACGGGGCCAAAAAAGTAAAGGTACTTGTTTTGATTGATCTGTGGATATCTATTACAATAGCTGGGGTTTAGTATTTATACCCGAGGCTTGACTACGAGTCCTGGTCGAATAAGACTCATCACAAAACTTGGGAAAGAGAACAAGACTTCCTAAATTAAGATAACTTGGACCCCAATCTTTCCTTTCTACGAAGTCTGACGCGTCTTCTCATCTCATGTCATGCCGTCTTCATTGTTGAGGCCTACTTCTTCGGATGTCGTCATCTCATCTGCTCATTCTGTTGGCAACTCAAGTACCCAATTTTGCTGATTGTTTTAGCTTTCTTTGGTAAATCTTGAAATTTAGGGTTCCCACATCTGAACCAAATTTCGGTGTCAACCGCCACCAAGAAGACTCTAGAAGGTCCACCCAGGGAGGTCGGTCTAAGCCAACACAGCCTGACACGTAGAGTGTCAGAACAGAATAGTCGAACGATGCCCAAGGCTTCTTTGGCTCCACGACACCACCATTGTCCATAGAGCACCGCTTCAAGACCCTAATGGACTCCGACGCATGTAGACCATAGACACTTCTCCCCAAACCGTCATGTACCCGACCTATCTCAATATATAAGGGATAAGGTCGGACCTTGGGGGAAGGATCCCAAACGGATCATTCGACTCCTCATTCGATCCGCTTCTGCTCAGCATCGAGGGCAGAGGCAACCCAGAGAGGGGCATTGAGAGCTCCTCCGCTGCATCCATCGTCTTTCTCCTCTCCGACGAGGGGAAGACTCCACCGGAGGTGAGGCAACCTTAGGATTAGCACTGAGCTAACCTCCTACTAAATCTCTCTACACTCTATTGTAAACTCCCAATTTTGGGTGCTCTTGAGTATAAGGATCATCAGCTACTGGACGTAGGGCACCGATTGGCCCAAACCAGGATAAACCATTGCGTCCCCTCTGTGATTCTTGTGTTCTTGAGTCCACCCGAACCACCGGAGACATGTACTTTGACATCGACTTGAACAACAATGCTTGTCGTGGTTCCAACCCTGCGACACCACCCAACCAAACACACCCTATATTACGGCTGGCCGTGCATTAGCTTCTTCTGTTTTTTATTGAAAAACTTCTTCTGCAAAACGTTTACCAAACATGCCCTAAACGTTGCCTTTGTCTGGGAATTAGTATCCGCTGTTGGGTTGGAGGTCGTCCTTCCCACGAAAAAGGGTTTTTTGGATCCATACCATTATAATTTTCAAAGTTTGGAGAAACACCATTATTATTCGTCTATTTTGAAGCATGTCATTACAATTCTTCGCTTCCCACAAGAATGCCACAGAATGCGTATGGAAACGACTTGGGCCCAGCTGCAGACGTATATGATGATGCGTATTCTCGTATGAACTTAAATGCCCTCAGCTCCCTATCCACATCAGCCCCGTCTCCCTTTCACTGACCTACGGGCCCCACTTGTCATCTTCTTCTTCCTCCTCTTATCCTTTACCTTGCTGTGCAGCAGCCATCAGAGTCAAGCAGCCTCGGCCACGTGGGCGCATGGGCGAGCTGACGAGCTGCCGTGGCCATGCGCGCTCGCGAGTGAGCTGGCGAGCCACCGCCGTGACCACGCGCGCCGCGGGCGAGCAGCCACGGTACTCCTAGACGTCATCCGCACCGGTCTAGGGCAGTCGTTGCCACGTCATCGCCTCGTTCGTCGGAGACGCGGCGAAGTTGCGTCGTCGCCGCCTCAGTTTCCAGTCGTCGTGCTCGCTCTTGTCGCCGGCCTGCTCTAGGGCTCCTCGGTGAAATCTCGGCGAAGAGGCGAGGGAGGCCGCCGGCGCGGCGAGGAGGAGCGTTGCGCCTGGAGGTCCACCCCGCCATGGCCACGTGGGAGCTCCCCACCATGGCCGCGCGGGGCGGTCGAGGTGCTGCCGACGTGACGCCTCGAGAGTGTGGCGGCGAATGCAGCCGGGCACGGCACATGCCCTCGACCTGCAGCAAGCCCATGCCCTCGACGGCGTGGCGCAGCACGTGTGGGACCTCCGCCAGCCATGGCCGCGCGCGAGCTCCGCCTGGCCATGGCGCTGACGACCAAACCCACACCAGCACGAGCACGGGCACGCCGCCGGTGCCGGTGAGGAAGGTGAGGAGGAGGTAGGCGAGTGTGGAGTCGAGCGGTTGGGAAGGAGAGGAAGGCGAGGAGGAGGAAGCCGAGTGCAGACAACATGACGGCCACCACCAGGTAAGAGGAGAGAGGAAGGAGATGACAAGTGGGGCCTATGCGTTAGTGAGTAGAGAGGGAGGAGTAGCCGAGGGTAATGGCCATGTTTGCTTGTCTTATGAGCCATACTATTTCAGCGAACGAACAACGTTTTTCTCTCACGACAAATCAGCAAACAGTACTTTCAATTATGACTTTTTAGCAAAGCGAACGGGGCCAATATCGTGCATACGAAAATATATGTATGTTCCGTACGCCTACATGTGAATCCAAGTCCTTCCAAACGTACACCGTGGCGCATTTTAAACAATCACAGAATTATAATATTATATTTCAAAATAGGTCCGAACTTTAAAAATTGTAACGGTACCGATCGAAATAAGAAAAAACTGCCCACAGCCGGAGCCAGCGGAGCGCCATGTCCGTCAGCTGCTGCTCGCCACCGCCGGCAGATCTTCTTCCGGACGACCTCCTTCAGGATGTCTTCCTCCGCCTACCATCGGAACCCGGTTTCTTTTTCGCAGCCTCACTCGTGTGCAGGCGCTGGCGCCGCCTCGTCCGTAGCCGAGCATTCCTCCGCCGCTTTTGCGCATTCTATCGAACACCTCCCGTGCTCGGCTTTTTCCAGAACCTCTGGACACTCAGCTGCCCCCCTGGACCAGCGCATCCGCTTCGTCCCCACTGCCGCCACCTCCACGAGGTTCTCCCCGCTGACTGGCTTGCAGTACTGGGTGCTTGACTGCTTCCACGGCCGCGTTCTCCTCTACAGCGACGCTGACAAAGAGTTCCTTGTCTGGGACCCCATGGCCGGAGACACACACTATGTGAGCGCGCCCCCGGATCTGATTTGGCGAGATATCGCCGCCGCCGTAGTCAGCGTGGCCGGGCACGATGACCTCACCGATTGCCACTCGAGCCTGTTCCAAATCGTCTTGTTGGACAGCAAGGTGGACGATCGATACTGGGTATCTGCTTGCATCTACTACTCAGAAACGGGCATCTGGGGCGATTGGGCTGCAATCGGAACGCCATCTATCATTAGTTCAGAGTCAAACGCCTTTGTGGGCAATTCTGTGTACTGCAAGCTCGATTTTGCCGAGGAAGACAGCAATCACATTCTTGAGTTTGAACTGCATGGCCAGAGATTGGGTTTGATTGAGCTGCAGAGGGCACTAGGGAAAATTATATGTCAGATATTCACGTTATGCCGGCAGATGATGGTGGCATCCGTTGTTGCGGCGTGAATTGTTCTAGTATCCATCTTTGGTCAAGGAGAATTGACTCTGAAGGTGTGGCTGGGTGGGCACTGCTCAGGATAATTGATATGGACAAGCTCACTCTCCCTGGTGTCCCAGTTGGAGATATGTTCTTATGGTCTTCTGCAGTTGCATTTGCTAGGGACAGTGAAGACCTTTTCCTACAAGCAGAAGCTGGCATCTTCATGATCAATCTGAGGTCAATGCACCTCAGGAAAGTGCTTGAAGCAAGTGGCTCAGCTATTTATCCCTATGCAAGCTTCTACACTCGAGGTACTAGTCTTCGACTGATTGTCCTAATATATTTCTATGGTACACCCACACCTATCAGTGGATGCTGTTGTTGAACTTTACTGTTCTTCTAAGAAGAGGCTAACTCTTCAGATCAGTCTGATCTATTCGATGAATATGCATTGATAATAATCTGCATAAAACAGTTTTCCATCACATTTCTTGGATGGACAAATGCCTATTTTGCCCTAGAGATGTATGCATTGATTTATATTTGAGAGTTAATAACTTCATATATATATATATACTATCCTTGATATTATGGTACTTGATCTTTTCAGCTTCCCACATATCTCTGTAATTCTTCCATAGGTCCGGCTATATATAAAATTGAGACACTGAAGGAAATGTACTCAGTTTGAACCATTTGAATGTCAATTGAATAATTTGATTGACATGATTCTTTAAGATATGCCACTACCTCTTGATTAAGTATTATTTACAGGAACCAGTCCTTATCTCTTTTATCTTTTAATCACATACCATTTCACCCCATTCTTGGATAATGATGTGCAAACGTCAACAGATCACGTGTGACTAGTAATTGTGGCCCGATCTTCTCGAAGGAGAACTTGATAACTATTGTTGCCTCATACTTTTAGCACCCTTGCATGTCCCAAATTATGTAGTCTTTTCTGCCCTGAGTTTTTGCACTTGGAGAATTCTTTAGAACAGCATGTTATGGATCAAAATTATCATCATCCCATGTACTTTCATATGCTCCATTATTCCTAAGAACAATAAAGGAACTACCTGAATGCATCGATGAATCTGCAACATTGTTTGTAACGAATGCAAGGTTAGCGTTCACCTCAGCATGCATTTCCTTCTCTACGCCCAGTTCGCTTGGCTTATAAGCCGTACTTTTTCAGCCAACGAACAGTATTTTTCTCACAACAAATCAGCCAACAGTACTTTCAGCCATGACTTATCAGCCAAGCGAATAGGGCACTAACTGTTTTGCCCGTTGTCTTGTAATGAGACTTTTCCCTGTGTGCCATTATAAAAGATCGCAATTCCCCGTGTGCCCCTGGAAAAATTCAGCGGTCTTCAGCGCCACTACTCTAACTTTTTCGGGTCCTCCATGCCACTTCCGTCAGTTCAGCCTCTAACGCCGTCAAACTGCAGGTGTGAAAAGACGAAAATACCCTTAAGTTCAAATATGTTATTAATTTTTTTTGAGCATCTTAACGACTTCAAATGAAAAAACTCAAAACTAGAAAGTTGTAGATCTCGTCGAGATCTATAATTTTCATATAAAAATTATTTTCATTTAATTCATAAAAAAAATATGATTTGATATGATTAATATATCTTAGAAAAATCATCATATTTTTTTGCGGAATTAAATGAAAATAATTTTTATATGAAAATTATAGATCTCGACGAGATCTACAACTTTCTAGTTTTGAGTTTTTTCATTCGAAGTCGTTAAGATGCTCGAAAAAAATTAATAACATATTTGAACTTAAGGGCATTTTCGTCTTTTCACGCCTGTAGTTTGACGGCGTTAGAGCCTGAACTAACGGAAGTGGCATGGAGGACCCGAAAAAGTTGAAGTAGTGGCGCTGAAGACCGCTGAATTTTTCCAGGGGCACAGAGGGGATTACGATCTTTTATAATGGCACACAGGGAAAAGTCTCTCTTGTAATTGGTCCAATAATGTCAGTAGCATTTTGTTTAGGTATGGGAGAAGTATCAATGCTGGGGATGTCCTCATCAGATAACATAAGAGAAAACATACCAATTTTAGTTTTTGTAGGTGAAACTAACACCTATATTAATGTAAAGAGAACAAAAAAAAAGTGTGCTACTTTGATTAGCATTTGATTTAATTTCTTTCTGTTTCCAGTTTCCACCAATTCGTTTTTATTCTGGTCGCCCAAACTCATTCATGTGAATTTCATGTGTTTTAAGAGGCACCCGACAATGAAAATGATGAACATGCTTCCACGAACTAAGCCTTAATGTATCTACAATTGTCCTGATTAGGTGAAAATATCACATGCTTGTGTTCATTATAACTATGAGGCTGATATGATAGACTTTGCCTGACTCTATTATCACTTCTGTTCTTAGTGTTGAAGCAACTGTGAAGTTTTATATGAGTTATTATCTGAATACGCAATAGTTTGTTCCACTAACTGATTACTTTCTCTTTGTTATTTTGTTCTTAGGTTGTGACATTGCGGGCATAGATGACAGAGATGAATAATTCTTGCTTTATCAGTTTGGGAGGATGAAGGGTTATTCTGTATCATACATACTTTTCCATAGGCTCTCTAGAATCAGTTGTATGAATTATGATCATTGTGGTGTGTACTGTGTACATTTCCCACTTCAACTTGAATCCCTACCTATGTGGTAACAAGCTACAGAAAATTGTCAGTTACCAAGTATTCTCATGGCTTAACAGTTAGAGCATTAAACTCCAGGAGTTGATGAAACCCTTGTTGCTGGCCTGGGTTTGAATCTTGGTACCTTAAGGCTACTCTCAGGAGGAGGCTCACCTCGTAGTCTAGTTCTTTACAGAAAATTATCAGTTTCACACTCTGCATACTTCTTACTGGCTTACTGTAAACACATCTACACATATTAGAGATTATTAAATGCACCTCTTGTTTTCTAAAAAAACCCTACCTCTTTCCTTAACTTATAGTTTAGTAGTGAGCACGCACCCAAGTGAAAGTAGATTCATGATGGTTTTTATCCTTATTTTGTATGTACTACTTTTGGACCACTTTATAAGGCACAATTTGACATGACATGGACTTATGATTAATATTATTTATTTATGCATGCACGCCTTTGACCATTCATTTATTTAATATTATTTATTTATGATTATAAACTTATGATTATTGGATAGTACATTTAATTACAAACCTAATTGTATCATGTTTGTATTATAATAGTTAAAAAATGTCGGTGAAATTATTGGTCAAAGATTATAAAAAGTTTGAATCTTAATATGCATGCACGCCTTATAAACTAGTCCGGTGATATCTCACATGTTAGACATATACCTCAATATTTCTAACCAATATTCAATTAGTAGCACATGTAGTTCTGTGGATGAAATCTTCTGTATCGGGAAAGGACATCAGTATGATCATGTAAATCCAAAATGCTTGATGCCAGCTTCTGTATTCATGCAAGTTCCATCACTTCTCTCCTAGTTTTGATTAGTCTAAAAATACCGATAGTATGGTGTAGAAAGTGGTCTTTCTGCTCTTTAGGTGGGTTATATTTGTGTCTCATTTTTTATGCCATGTATGAGCTGGTTTCAAGCCTGCAAGAATATGTTTTTAGTATTTACTGATTTTTGTGATGATTAACTATTTGCTATCAAAAAATATTGCTGACAAATAGAGCTCTTGATTCTTTGGTGTACTCTCTACTATGTATGAACATTTTTTCCCATTTTTGGGCTAGCTATATCTTTGGTGTTACTAATGAACATAGTTTCCAGTTATGGCCTAATTTAATAATATATTTGGTAGTCATTTTAAATGATGAAATGCTGACATGGGCTCCATAATCTCGATACCATAAAATCAGTCAATATATTTTTGCTTTGTATGTATGTGAAGCTCTCATTTCTATATGTTGTATAAATAAAGTATTAAGAGGCTCTTTATCATAAAATTTATAAAACAAGGAACCTCCCCCCCTCCCCTGCCCCCAAAAAAGCTCCTATCTCTAATCTCTTATCTCTTATATAAGACTCTCTTATCTCTTATATCGCCCTGTTCGCTTGGGCTTGTTTGGCTTATAAGCTTTACTTTTTCAGCCAACGAATAATATTTTTCTCTCACACCAAATCAGCCAACAGTACTTTCAGCCATGGCTTATCAGCCAAACAAGTCCAAACGAACAGGGCATATAAGATGAAGTCTACACCAACAACTCTAACCTATCATTATGCCACGTGTCTGCACCCAAAAGCAGGCTAACACATCGGTGTGGACCGTCAGATTTTGGATCTAGCCTATAAGACTCCTCGGGTATCTTCTCGACGCGTCTGCTCGCTCGGCTTCGATGAGCAGGGCGGCAGCACGGGTAACCGCGCGGGCCACCGGCGAGGTGGGTGAGCTCACCAGCGAAGCGGCGCGGCGAGCCGAACGCGACCTTGGCCGCGGGACACCGGATGCCGGCAGAGCATCGCCCTGTTCACTTGGTTTATAAGCCGTACTTTTTCAACCAATGAATAGTATTTTTCTCTCATAACAAATCAGCCAACAGTACTTTCAGCCATGGCTTATCAGCCAAGCGAACGGGGCACATCATCGAGCTGTGATGCCGTGGACGAGCTGTGGGGGAGTCACGTGCCTAGAGCCGGCCGTGCCCGCGCCGGGGCCACCTCGCCGCCGCGCCGGGGCCACCTCGCCGCCGCGCCGGGGGCCGAGTGGACACCACGAGGCAAGCGCCAGCACCGGCGTGGCGTTGCGCTCTCTAACCTGCAGTTATAGCTTCGCGCCGGCAGCTTCCTTGTGTCCTCCTCCACGAGTCCAACGCCGAGGAGGACGGCGGCAAGGTCCAGGCCTTCCTCGGAGGTGGAGAGCGCCATTAGGGACCATCTGCTTTGGGCCAACTCCACCAACCAGGAGATCGACCACGCGCTCAAGGTGAAGCCCTGCCACACTGATCATTGTTTTTCGCCTTCATTCAAACGTTTGTATTTCAGACGTCCTGATGATTTTTTTTTTCTGTTATCAATTATGTTAGTCATTCTAAATTTGAAATTATCCAAAATTCCCATAAAAGAAAACATTCCAGTGATACAGCCAAAGCTTATGCTAACTATGACCATTCTTTTTCTGCACATGCCACTCTAGCTTGCAGTGAAAGAGTTGCAGAAGATTGATTCCTTCAAAGCACCACGCGAGAAGCTTCTATGCATCATGAGCTGTTGTCAAGTCATCAATAACTTGCTTTTGAACATATCAATGTCAAATGATCGAACATTATTTGAGGCTGATGAATTCCTTCCTATTCTTATCTATATTACTATCAAGACAAGGCCAATCCTCAGCTGCACTCAAATCTGAAGTTTGTTCAGCTATTTAATAGAAGAGAAACAAAGCTAATTCGGGAAGTCGAATATTATCAGACAAACCTCATTTCAGCAAATATGTTTATAATAGATATCAATGCTCGCTCACTATCAATAGAGGAAATCGAGTTTCAGAAACATATGGAATCAGTAAGACTAGGTACTTAAACATCAGTTGCTAGCCCAAGTAGCTCACAGGGGTTTCCCACATCTACAAGGGCAAATCAAGAGGAAACCGATATGACAGGTTTGCTTACTATATTAGTCAATTTATTCGAAGAAGTTTATTTGACCATGGATTTGCATTCCAGTGTTCGACTCACAAAATAGTTTTTTATGCCATGAAACAAAATGTATAATGATATATTATATATTGGTTCAAGTATGATCATGGATTTGCATTCCAGTTTTCAAGTCACAATTTTTTTTTTTTTGCCATGAAACAAAATGTATAATGATATATTATGTATTGGTTCAAGTATGATATATTATATTATGTATGTATCCCTCGCTATTCTTCCATAAACTAATTCTAAAAAAACATGTATTTCTTGTAGGGACATTTAGAAAGGATAGACATTAGTACTCAAGACATCTTCCAATAATGGGGCAAGAAAGTTTGAGAGATATGCAAAGGAAAAAAATACCACAATACTAATACATTATATATATTATTAGGTAACTACCTATTCAACTTTGGAACTAAGCAGCGTGTTATATATGTACCTTATTCAAATTTTGAACTATAGTGGCACTGCACAAAACAACTTAGTACTAAATAATAATTGGATTTATTTCGACGTGCTTCATCATATCATTCTCAAATCTCAACTCCTACTTTTTGCAGAATTGCATGCACTTCTATTGATTTGCAGAGATGCTTTCCATAAGCGCCTTAAAAACGATATCTCATCATGTAAAGTACTTAAGATCCCAAGCGGTGAATTCAGATCCATTCAAAACAAAATAAGCATATTCAGGCAAAAACATTAACACAACAAACAACAAAAACTAGTCGCCTAGACTAATGCAAAGATGTAGCTCTGCTTTTTTTTTTGGGTCTGATGGCCTCTCTCGCTCCCACCCCTCCCCTCCCCGGCGCCCTCCCATACAGCAGCCCCACGTCGGTGCCTGCTCATGGCCCGACGGCCACCCTCCCAGTCAAGCCCCTTCAGCCCTCCTCCTCCCTGGCAACCCAGGTAGGTCGCTCCAAAGGTGAAAGGTGGCGCGACGCCAGTCCGTCCTCATCTGCGGGCGGCTCCTCTCCCGTTCCTTCGTTCAAGGAGGTGCTCCTTTCTGGTGGCGCTTCTTCGTCAGCCTTGCCGCAGCCGGTGGTGGCTAAAGTTCGCCGGCCTCCGAGAATCGTTCTCCGGTCGCGGGCCCCTCAGACGTCCGCCGGAGAGGGCCCTGACGGGGCCGGGTGGCATCGGTACGAGGGTCGTCATGCTCGCAAGCGGCGGCTGCGGGGGCTGCGCGAACCTCGTCGCTCGGTGCCAGCGGACCTCAGGGGGAGGTGTTTCAATTGTCTCTCCCCGTCTCACCGTGCGGCCTCCTACTTGAAGGGGCCTCGCTGCTTCAGGTGCCGGGCGATTGGCCACCGTGCGTCCGTCTGTGGTGGCCGTGGCCAGGCTCTACACGCGGTGGCTCCTCGGGCTCTCCTCGTGTGGCGTCCTAAGTCCACGCTGGGAGACTCGAAGTCTGTGAAGATGGTGTCCTCAACAGCTGCGCCTGACGATGGGGGCTCCGGGGCGGCGGGGGCGGCGGCTGTTCCAGGCACGCGGACGAGACGTCATCGCCGAGTCAGGAAGCGGGGCCGTTCGAAGGCTGCTGGCTCGGGCGGTCCGTCTGGCCAGGAAGATGAAGAGAATAACGTGTCTGCTGCTTGCGATCATGCTCCGACCGTCTCCGGTGATGCTCCTGCCCGGCCTCGTCGTGTCATTGATCATTCAGCTAAGATGTCCAGGGCTGAAGATGAACTTCGCAATGCGCTCTCGGTCTCGATTGTTGGAGACACCGCGACTCTTTCGGTTGACGTTCTGGTTGATGAGTTAGCTCGCCGCCATGAACTCCCGATCGAGTCGCTGGAGTTTCACAGTCTGAGCCGTGAAGATGGTCTGCTGATCCTCCCCGATGAAGCTTCTGCTGTCCGAGTCTACAATGAAGGAAGGCCTCTTCACTTGCCTCTGTTCACCCTGTTCTTTCGGCGCTGGTTTCGGTTCAAGGGTGCGTCTGCAGTGGTGCTGCCCTCGCTTGTTGACATTGAGCTGAGGGGTATACCTGCACATGCATGGGAACTGGAGACGGCGGAACATCTTCTGGACGAGTGGGGCTGGGTGCGCGAGCTCCATCCTGCTACGATTGATCGCAAGGACTATTCGGTTTTCCGCTTGAAGGCTTGGTGTTCTCAGCCGGAACTCATCCCGACGACTTTGGACTTGGACATTGTTGAGCCCCCGATACAAGTTGAAGATTTTCCGCCGGTGAAGCGTGCGTTAAGGTATGAAATCAAGATTGCAGTTTCTGCGTCGACTTCGTTTGGGATGGAAGACGATCCGCCTTCACCTCCGCTGCACGACGACTCCGACCAAGGGAGGCGTCGACGCCGACGTCAAGCCCCTGCCTCGCCGGAGTCCGTCGCCCTTGGGTCTGGTGCCTCCGGTGGTGCCCCGCGGGTCCCTGTGCATCGGTGATTGGGCGCTGGCCCGGTGGTTGTAGACCAAGGGGCGGAAGTCGAGGATCCGATTGATGGCGCTAACTCTGCTGCGCCCGAGGCGACGCAGGCGGCGGCTTCACAGCCCGTGGAGCCCGAGGCGACGCGGGTGCCTTCACTCTCACCTGCCTCGTCCCTGCCGGTGGCCATTGATGATCCGGCGGCACTGGTCATTTTGCCCGGATTGGCGAACGAAGATTTGATCCCTCAGACGCCGGGATTTCCGTTCTGGTTGTCGGAGGCTGGTCCTGCCTCGTCGGTTCGGCTGGATGAAAATCTCAGCAACGACACATGGTGGGCTAAGGATGGCACTACGGCCCAGTCTCCAGGGGACCGGCCTGCCGGCCCACTGCTTTCAGGCCCACATTCCTCGAGGGGTCCTGACCAGCCGGGCCTGACGTCTCATGTCATCAGTGGAGCGGGGCTCCTTGCTTCTCCATCTCTAGATGAAGCTCCAACCCAGGCTCCGGTGCTGGCGGCAATGAGCTCTTCGCCGGATCTTACCGCTGCTGACTCAGCGCCTACAGATGCCCAGGGCGTCTTGGCGGGCAGGGGGGTCACTTCTCCTGTGAAGACCTATTCCAGAAGGCGGCGACGTATGGCGGGGGGGACGGCGTGGCCGCGGCTCCGCTTCCAGAACCTCTCCTGGCAAGCGTGGAAGCCTTGGCCGGGCCGGCGGGCGTTGATGTGCTGGCCGTGACTCCGCACCGGACCTCTGCCCTTGGTCCTGGGTGTGTTGAGGTCATGGCTGAAACTCCGCCTGCTGCCACACGCAGGTCTCCCAGCGGCAAGGCCATCCTTGAGTCTCCGTCGAGGCGCAGATCAAGGTTCATGAAGAAAATCTCTAAACGGATTGAAAAAATCCTTCCTACTCCGCGCGCCCCGAAGCCAAGAGCCCGGTCTCACACGTCTGCTGCCCCACCACGAAGAAGTAGGAGAATTGCGGGTGTTGGGCCAGAGTCACCATCCGGAGCTGTTCCCACCAGGTACAGGAAAAGAGTTATGACAGTCCTGAACGTCGTCAATGAAAATGATGGTATTCATCAAGATGTTCTGGATGCTTATGGCAAGTTGTTCGGTCAACCTCTCCCAGAATCTCATGTTCAGGCCTTAGCGGCTCTTTTTGGTTGGGCAACCCCGGATGTGGGGGAAGTAGAGACCATTCCTGATAGTGGGGAGGCTGTGTTGCCAGTCGTTATCTGATTTTGTTCTCTCTCGTCTGGTCGATTTCCCTTCTTCATAACATAATGAATCCTTCAAACATCCTCTGCTGGAATGTTCGCGGCCTCAATTCGAGGGCTCGCCAAGATGCAATGCGTACGCTAGTGAATTCCTCTCGTGTTGACTTTGTTTTCTTACAAGAGACAAAAATGCCGGTAATTTCTCAGGGCGTCATTCTTTCAATGTTGGGCTCAGTTTTTTCTCATTGGGTCGTTTTGCCGGCTGTTGGTGCAAGTGGAGGAATCCTTCTGGCATGGAGGCAGGATCTTGGCCCGGCCACTGCCAGTCATGTTGATGAACACAGTATTTCTGTGCAGTTCTCCCCTGCTGGCCTGCAACCTTGGTGGCTTACTTGTGTATATGGGCCTCAAGGTGATGAGAGGAAAATACTCTTTTTACAAGAATTAAGAAATGTGAGATCTGCTTGTCAAGGACCCTGGTCTGTTCTTGGGGATTTTAATCTCATCACAAATGCTGAAGACAAAAACAATGGGATTCTTAATAGAGCAATGATGGGCAGATTTCGCCGTCTAATCAATGAATTGGAGTTAAAAGAGCTGCCCTTGCAAGGTCGAAAATTTACATGGTCAAATCAGCAAGAATCCCCTACGCTTGTCAAGCTAGATAGAGTGTTTTGTTCCTCAGAGTGGGAAAACCTGTTTCCAAACTGTCTTCTGCAGAGCGGCGCCTCCGATGGCTCTGATCATTGCCCCCTCCTTCTGGGTTTGCATGATGTTCAACCTCGCAAGGCAAGATTTCACTTCGAATCCTTCTGGTGCAAACTTGAGGGGTTTCAGGATGCAGTGGAGACTGCTTGGACTTCAGTGGACGCCTCCTGCTGCCCATTCGACACCCTGGCAAGAAAATTTAGAGCTACTGTCAGAAGATTACAAAGTTGGAGCCAGAAAAAAGTGGGGCATGTCAACACTCAATTGGGGCTGGCCAGAGAGATTTTGCACCAGCTTGAAATTGCTCAAGACCATCGAGCCCTCTCTGGCCTGGAGCTCTGGTTGCGTAACAAACTCAAGCTGCACTCTCTGGCACTCTCGTCTCTGCAGCGCACCATTGCGCGCTGCCGATCTCGCATCTCATGGCTCTGTGAGGGCGATGCCAACACAGCCATGTTTCACTCCCATGCTAGGCATCGGATGAGGAAAAATTTCATATACAAGCTCACAACTGATGACGGTTTGGTTCTCACAAAACATGAGAAGGAGCAGAATATCTTCAATTTCTATAGTACTCTCTTGGGTGAAAATCTGGATCGGGGTGTTACAGTAAACTTGGAAGCACTAAATGCACCAAATCTTGACCTATCCGAGCTAGATGATCCTTTCTCTGAGGAGGAAGTTTGGAAAACTATCAGTTCCTTGCCTCCTGACAAGGCCCCAGGCCCCGACGGTTTCACCGGAAAGTTTTACAAAGTCTGCTGGCCTATAATTAAGCAAGATATTATGGCAGCAGCTTTAGCTGTTTGGAGCAGGAATTTCAACAATTTTGAGCTTCTCAACTCTGCCTTCATCACTCTCTTACCAAAAAAAGATGATGTCACGAGCATCAGGGACTACAGACCAATAAGCTTGGTGCATTCCTTTGCCAAACTCATAACAAAGTTGCTCGCTAATAGGCTTGCTGGTCGTTTGGATCGCTTGATCACACCAAACCAAAGTGCTTTTATCAAGGGTAGATTCATCTTGGATAACTTCATGTTGGTTCAGCACACTACAAAGTATCTACATCAGCAAAAACAGGCTCGCATTCTCCTAAAGTTGGACATCACTAAAGCTTTCGATTCAGTTTCCTGGCCTTTTATTTTGGAAGTGTTGCAGCACGTGGGTTTTGGGTCTATTTGGTGTGACATCATCAGTGGGCTATTAGCCTCTTCATCCACTCAGATCCTGTTGAATGGCTCTCCTAGGGAGAGAATTAAACATCGCCGGGGCTTAAGACAAGGAGACCCGCTCTCCCCAATGCTCTTTATATTGGCCATGGATGTTCTGTCTTTTGTTTCGTAAAGCGGTGAAGAAGAACTTCTCCAACCCCCGGCTAGAAGGAATATACAACACCGGATCTCCTTATATGCTTGATGACGTGGTCATTTTCCTTCGACCCTCGGTGAGTGACATCGAATCACCCTAGATTTGCTGCAGCTTTTGGGGAGGCTTCGGACTCGAACCAATATCTGAGAAAAGTAATGTCCTTCCCATTCAAGTGTTCGGAAGAGGACCGTGCAGTCCTGCTTGCGCATCTCCCCGCCAGATTCTGAATTTCCTTGCAAATATCTGGGAGTGCCTCTCTCCACACAAGTCGACAAGAGCCCAAGTCCACCCTATCATTGATAAAATTGTCGATGATTGCCGGGATGGAAAGCTGACCCGCTCACTAAAGTGGTAGGAAAATTTTGGTACAATTTGTTCTCACCTCTATGTTAATATATCGGCAATGGCCCTGGATCTTCCTTCACGGGCTTTGAAAGCGATTGATAAGATCGGAAGGGGTTTCTTGTGAAGGGAAGAAAAGATGTGAGGGGTGGTCTTTGTTTTGGTTGCTCGCCCAAGGTAACCCGTCCCTCTGGAATTGGGGGGCTTGGTATTTCACAATTACAACAGCTAGGGTGGGCACTTTCGAATGAGGTGGCTCTGGTTGTTCAAAATCGAGCACGACAAACCATGGAATTTTTTTTCCCATTCAAGTCCATCACTCTGTCAGAACCTTTTTCTCAACAACCATATCTTCCGAGGTCGGCAATGGTAAGAATACACTTTTTTGGAGTGATAAATGGCTACATGGATAGAGTCTTGAAATGCTTGCTCCACTCTTGTTCAACTCTGTCTCTAGCCGTACAAAGAAAAGAACAGTGTATGACGCTCTTATCGATGGTAGATGGGTTGCGGACATAAGAGGTGCCCATGACTTGTGGGTGTTTCGATGAATTTCTCGATCTCTCGGGACTTGCTTGGCTGAGGTGGTGCTACAGCCGGAAGTGGATGATTCTCACATTTGGAGGTTCTCTTCCACAGGAAAGTACTCAGCTAAGTCGGCTTATGAAGCAATGTTCATAGGGGCCACTCATTTCAAACCCTGGGAAAGAATCTGGAGGAGCTGGGCGCCTGGAAAGTGCCGGTTCTTTATGTGGTGGGTTGCCCATAACAAATCTTTGGACGGGCCGATAGACTTGCTAGGAAGGGATTGCCGCATCGAGCAATGTCCATTATGTGATCAAGAGGAGGAGACGATTAATCACCCGCTTGTTTCCTATGTGTTCTCGCGCCAAGTTTGGTTCATTGTCTTCCAAAGCAATTTGGACTGCAGTGTCTTGCCCCACAACACAGGGACCTGCTATTTGATGTGTGGTGGGAACAGGTGAACACTAGGGTGACTGATCTTGTAAAGCAAGGCCTGAACTCCTTGGTTATCCTGGTGGCTTGGGCCATCTGGAATCACAGGAACGCCATTGTGTGTTTGATGGATAGCAACCTGAGCTGTATGGTTTGCTCCGTTCTATCAGGGTTGATCTATACATGTGGGATATGGCTGGGGCTCGAGGCATTTCTCAACTCCTCGCCCTGCAGCCTCCTAGTTGATCTTTTTTTCCTGGTCATGGGTAGTTCCTGGATGTAATAGGTGATCTAGCATGTGTGTTTTTGTTGGAGTTTTTTGTCTGGTTTTCTCTCCTTTCAAAAAAAAACCAGTGTACTACCTGGGTGCTTTACCCTTTTTTCTTCTTAATATATTGATACGCAGCTCTCCTGCGTGTTCGAGAAAAAAAAGGCAAAAACATTAGTAGCACGGTTCGTATTTGCTTTTTCTATATTAACTATCTTGTAGTACTGCTATTTGTTGCCCACAGAAGCTAAGTAACACTAATGGCAATATAACTCTTTCACTGCCACTTCTATACAACTAGCTCCATGATGCAAGCATCCCATGGAATCGCACGACAAGGCCGCGCCTTGCTTTCTAGTAGACTCTCTAAACCACTTTCCATCTTTTCCGCTCTCCAAAACCACCTTTGTCGCTCTCCACTTTTGGAGAGATTACATGGTTCTCTAAATGCAATATATGGTAGCTTTCTTATGATTTCTTTCACAAAAGGAAAGTTAGAGCAACTCTAAAAGCCTCTATAAATATCTCTATTTAAAGTGCCATTCAATAAATATTCTCTTTGTATATCTCGTGTGCCTTCAATGGATTTTTCCAATTTTGTACTCTATACTCCAATAGGTTATCATAATTTTCTTTATGTGAAAAAATGATGAGAAAAACTACTGTATATTGCATTTAGAGTCATGTAGCCTCTCCAAAAGTGAAGAGCGAGAAGAGTGTTTTTTGAGAGCGGAAAAGATGGAGAGTGGTTTGAAGAGTCTTTCGGAACCTTTTTTTTGTTTGCTTGCTTTCTAAATTCTGTGACAACATCAGACTGAGAGGACTTGTGTTCAGCGAGAGTACACAGAAAATTGCTCCTAAAACATCGTCAAACATCAAACGGCCATCAACCTTCTATCGCCTCCCTCTACCAGGAACTTTCCTTCTTAGTATTTCTTCCTTGCACAATGGTTCCCATTTCTTTAAAAACAAAAGAAAATGGTGAATTAGATCCGTTGGATGGTTTAATATTTTGTTTTTGAAAACAAGATCATGGTGAGTTAACCACAAACTCCAGCAGATGCTACCTAGAAAAAAAAACTAAGAACTTATTGCGAGAATCTCTGCTATGAAATAGGATCACCTCTATGAATTGTTGAGTAGATTGAGGGATTCCTCCGGAGTTTAAAACGTCTCTAATGACACACCACGGGTACTGGGCGATGTTACACCGTATATGATCAGCACTTTTCTCCTGTCCACATAATTTACTATTCTTCTCACCTTGCTAATTCTCCCTCAGGAGTTGGTCAGCAGATTGAATTGACTCATGAATAAAAGACAAAGAAATTTTCTAATCTTCAGCGGTAGTGGTGAATTCCATATGTCTAATATACTGTGTTTTCTGGAGCAACCTGGTTCTGATGATGTTGTTTATCTGGCAGCTTCGTCAGCTGCTTACCAAGTGATCTAAGACAAGGTTGAATTAGGAGCAAGGTTGTCTGCGTACGTGTAAGCGTGTTCAAGAGGCCTTGGAGATCTTGTGAGCTGTTTCTTACTCGTGGTTTGGTAGTGTCGATATATGTTGATGACGGACAAGAACAAAGCAAGTTAGTGTTTGTATTTGGTTCATGATGTTGCCGTCTACAGTATATAATGTTAGGGGAGCGCTAACTGCATGTTGAGAGAAGCTCGTAAGGGGCTTGTAGCACCGACGCAGTTGAATTACAGTACATTCTCTAGTTTTGTCAGAAATGGACCAAACTGTTAGCTGCTCTGAACATGGAAAGTGGCTTCTGGGGGCGCTAGAAAACCAGGCGCAGCTTTGCCACGCCCTTTGTGGAGCTGCTCAGTCCATCTTTACAGGTTGGGTCTTGCAAATGTAGGTAAACACTGAATTGGAACTATCAATCAGCTGTAAAAATGGCCATTGTACTTGATAAAAGTTTGTTTTGCTTTGTGCAAAACTCACCTGTGCTCAATGGTTGAGAGCAAGGAAGAAAGAAATTTGTAAACCTTTTCTGAATTTTGATTTTTCATCTTGAGTTTTTGTCAGGCTGCATTACATCATCCAGACCAACTGTAGGTAAGCTGAAGCCTTAATGAAGCTAAGATGAACTAACAGGAACCAAACTGCCTTATTGGAGGCTTCAATTTAAACAGAGCACATAAATCTGGGATGGGTGTATCATATGTGTCAATGTGTGTACCTACACTGTTCGAATTGTTGATTGCTCCTCCATATCAGAGTTGCAAGTATAAGTTTTTAATTTAATTGGGTTAACACAAATATGGAAACAAAATAAGGACAGAGATTGGTAGCAGGAAATAAACTGTAGATTTGCTCTGTTACTATGTTCAGGTAAAAGTTACTTACTATATCTTCTTTGTAGGATTTTCCTTCCTGCTGCAGAGGTAAAGGACATACAACTTGCAAGGCGTATCAAAGGAAAGGATTGGTGATAATACTAATCATAGACATATTTTGTGAAGCATCCTGCCTGATGTAGGAGATGAAGTTTATGATGCTGGCCGTAACATTTTATCCTGTAATGTAGATGTGGGAACAGTGAATCTCTGTTCCAATTGCCATGGTTTATCTCCATTCTAAATTTCTCAACAGCTTTCGGAACCACTTCAGTATATTTTAGGGACAACTGAATTTGCAGCTCAAGCGACATGTTGCTTCTTCAGCTGAACTTGTTCTGAGTTAGACATTAGTATCGTTGAATGCTGCAATGAATCTGTTTCGCAGTTAGTGTTCCAAATCCAACAGGATCATGTATCGTTGTTTTTGGTCTGTCATGTGTGCCTCTGATACCTTTGTATTCTTCACTCATGTTGCTGGGATGGATGCAGATGGGATGATCTGTTAACATCTGCGGAGTGTATGGCATAACTCTGATTTTTCTGCGTTGTTTTGGTTCCTCTTCAGCCATTTGTTGCTTCACCAAGCCTATGATCAAAGAAGTCACCATTCTATTGTTGTACAGACTACGGGCTTCATTCAAACATTCTGAGACTTGTTACATATACTCTGCGATTTTTTTTCCTTCCTCAACTCATTTTTTTTCCTTACTCATAACGCATTCGGACTCATGCTGCAGTCTAGAGTCAACGGCATGCTAAAACGCAAGGCTAATTGTATTCAGGAGCAGCAGACCCGTGACCAGAACCATTGCCTTGCAGAAATGGCCTTTTGCAGGTGCAGCTGGGCCTCTGGTAATGGGATTGTGATCCAGCCGACCAGCCCTAATCCTACCCCAGTCATCCATATTTTAACAGTGGCTTGATAATAATCTAAATAGACCTTTAAGACTGTCTCCAACAACCGCGACCTAAAATATAAGATCCATTTATCCTTTGGGTAGCGCTACAGGCAAATGGTTCAATACCTATTTTTGTCTTTTCCAACAAGAAGATCCAAAAGACAACCATTTCTGCAAATGGATCTCTAGGAGAGAGAATACTCAGATTTGGGTTATGGTACTCTGTTGAAGACTATATGTATTATGTTGGAGACCTATTTTAGGTTTGGGTTTCACAATAGGTCTCCTGTTAGAGACAGCCTAACAAATACAGTCTGATTGAGATCCATCCATTTTACCCTACTCTGATCTTGACCCTATTTACAGTGGCAGAGTTTGAGGTTAAATTTAGAGGGGCCCATGGTGGAATATATATGACTTAAGGAGTGCAAAGGTGGCCAATTTGAATCTTCGTCATTAGCAGGTGAGTACTACCGAGTGCTTATCTCACTCAGTGATGAAAGAAAATTCACCAATCGTACCATCAATGATTCATTCATCTGGTACAAGGAGATATATTATATCAGAGCTGTGCTGCAATCGAAGACATTGATGCTACTATTGGTGGTACCATTGGTGAATGAATCATTGATGCAACTATATACTATTTGTGAATTTGGTTTATTCATCTACTACCATTATTCGAATCGGCCAAAACCGCCTATAACAATCCGCAAACAATTTGCGCCATGTTCGTTTAGCTTATAAGCCATACTTTTTCATCCAACGAACATTATTTTTCTCTCACAATAAATCAGCCAACAGTACTTTTAGCCATGACTTATCAGCCAAACGAACAGGACATTGGTCGTCGTCGTTTTGCCATAATATAATGCCAGCGTTATTGCGGTAAGCCACTGTCAGGTCGGTAGGTTTAACTCGCATCGCAGCTACAGTAACGATCCTATGTATACAAATGCCCGCTGCCCAGCTCTCTGCTCTCTCATTATCCAATTCCAACCCAATCCGGCCACCTCGCCCGTCCAGTGCGACGAAAAAGGAAATGGCGTCGTGGGACGCGCTGGTCGACGCCGCGCTCGCGACTCTATCCGCTAGGAAGCTACTGTTCAACACACGACTCATCACCCTCGCACCGCCGCCGGCGCTCACCGAGACCTTCGCCGGACCGGAGTCCTGGGACCGCGCCACTGTCGAGATCCAGGTGGACCGCAACTCTCTCCAACAGTGGCTCACCACAAGTCAGTGCCCAGCCTGCCTGCCGTGCATGCATGTGCATGCCAAGTTCTCGACTTCTCGTCTTACTGAACGACTGAACCTTTTTCCTTTCTTTTCTGAATGTTAGATGGCGAGGTGAGTATCCAAGAAGAGGAGGTGAGCCGGAAACTGATTCTTTTCTCAGGGGACGACTACATGTGCCTCAGCTCGCATCCGGCAGTCCGCGAGGCTGCAGTCAAGGCAGGTTAGCTCACGCGCCGGTTTCTTGCCATTTTTTTTTTGGCCCTCTGTCTCAGGCACTCCGAAGTCTGAACGAACAAGCTCTCTTAAGTATGTTGCGCTTGCTTGCATTGGCAATGGCATTGGCATTGGCAGGCAGCTCAAGCGTATGGGATGGGGCCCAGAGGCTCTTCCTTGATCTGTGGCTATACTACTTACCACAAACTAGTACGTGGAGGAATCACTGGCGGAACTGCAGAAAAAGGAGGTAGCATATGTTCCAACTATAGCTACTAGTTCATAATCATCTAAAATCAATTTCTTCAGCTTAATAATTAACCTCGATATATATGATGATTTTCATTGCTTTTATCTACTTTGTACAGGATGATGATTTTCATTGCTTTTATCTACTTTGTACAGGATTGCCTTCTCTGTCCCACTGGATTTTCGGCAAACACGTACGGCCTTGATGACTGCCCTGGGTAGCATCAGCTCTCTTTTGGCTTGTGCAGGGAGAAAACCTGCACCGGACGAGAGGATCGCAATTTTCTCAGATGCCCTCAACCATGCCTCAACAATAGATGGGATAAGCAGTAGCCTTTGTGTACAACCACTCTGACATGTCGCATCTTGACTTGCTGCTGTACGCTTCTTTTCTGTTTTATTATTTCGATCGATCCAGTCATGATGACTCATGGCTCATCATCATGAGATATATAGATCGATGCTAGCTACATTTGAATCTGCATGCAGGTCCAGTTGCTCAACAGAAAGGAAAGTTGTCGTCACAGATAGGCAAGTCATCAGAACAAGTCTTCATATCTTCGTCAGAGTTGAATTAGCACCTAGTGCTTACTTGTATTTATATATATACCCAAACTGTCAGAGTACTTATTAACTTATTAACCCATCTTTTCGCATAAAATGCATGTGCAGTATTTTCAGCATGGATGGAATTTCACGCCGTTACCTGAACTTGTCAAGTTACGCAAAAAATATGGATTTTTGTTGGTCATCGATGATGTTAGTAACTTAATTAGCTAGTATTTTATCTCCTCTCATTTACATTTTAATTTCCAGATTTTTGTAGTGGCCAATATAATTAATAATGGTCGCAATGCAATTGCTCTATAATTAATTAAGGGCCTGTTTGGCAGGGCTCTGGCTCCTCTGAAAATGGCTCCGGCTCTGGCTCCTCTGAAGGAGCATCTCCCCTGGAGGAGCTGAAGCCGTTCTGGAAAACGTTTGGCAAAATGACTCCTTCGCACTAGACGACGTGAACCCATAGCAAGGAGCCGCGCGAAGCTCGTTTTTTAGGCTTCTCCTGCGCAGGCAAAAAAAAGCTCCGGCTCTTGACCGGCTCCCCATGCGGAGCCCTTTCTAAAACAGGCGTTTGACACAGCTCCTGTAAGAGCCGGAGCTGAAACCCCTGCAGGAGCCCTGCCAAAGAGGCTCTAAGGCACATGGAACACTTGTTTGCGGCGAGAATGGTGGTGGTATACCGGAGCAGTTTGGATGTGAAAATGACATCGACATGTGTCTTGGCTCCTTAAGCAAGGGAGTTGGTTGCCAGGGTGGTTTCATAGCATGCAGGTATACATATTATGAGCAGAAACAACATAACGTATATGCCATCCAAATTATCAGCTTTCACACATTTATTTGCACTGCCGATTCTCATACCTGTAGTTTGGCCGAATATATAGTGGACTACTTTAGCTTAAGTACAGCTAGGTTAGTCGTTGGAGCTTCATTTCGAGATTTCTGACTAACTGTTTGCAATATGGTGAGCAGCACTAGCTGGAAGAGAGGCTTATTCTATCACGAGGTCGTTCCTTCGTATTTTCGACTGCTTTGCCAGTGCCTGTAGTTGCTTCTGTGCATGGTAACGTCGCTGTCGGTCCTTTGAAAAATGAATATTGCTTGCTTTTGTCATTTTTAAGCATGCTGGACTGCTGAGCTGAGCATTCAGCATGTACTTTTAAAAGTTCCATTACATTTTCTAGTAGTAGGACGAAAAGATTAACCTATTACCACGGGCAAAAACGGTAGCATTAGAATATAGAAAACGAAAACGGTAGATACAGAACTTTTCTAAATTCGCGAAATTATGAATATAAAAAAGGGTTGTAAAACCAGTTGAAAATGACAACGCTTATGTTTGGCTAAATTCAAAAACATCGAAAATATTAGCATAATATAGAAAAAAAAGGATTTGTCCTGTTCATTTTCACAATAATTTAAAGGATGAGAATATCCTACACCCTGCATTCTAAATTATACATAGTGTGTCTTATAATTTGGGAAGGGGGAGTAAAAGATAGGACATGCAAGTTGGTTCTGTACTCGATTGCTACACATCGACCGTTTTTCCTGATTAGAATCTACTGGTTTCAGCTGCGATCAGTGTCTCGAAAAAGGAGAGATGGCGAAGATCAGTTATCTAGGAGCATGTGCAATATTTTGCTTCTTTGACCAAACTCAACATAACCAGTCCCATCATTGTCATTTTAGTTGGAAGTGAAGAAGCAGCGGTCAAGGCTCACAGGTTCCCTCTCATCTCCCACCGACTTCTTCTTCTTAATTAATTCCCTTTAACTTTCATGCTTTGAGTCCTCAATGACTTTGCTTGTGCTTCCCGGCCGGCCTGTTTTTGAAACTTGGGTGCAGGCATCTTCTAAGATGTGGATTTCTTGTCCAGCCAATCCGGCCACCCGTAGTGCCACCCAACTCAAGCAGGTGGTTCCAAACTGTCTCTTCTTTTTGGTGTCTTTGTCATTTTGCATATTTTTTTCCTTGTCATGACGTTAAGCACAAGCCCTATGTAGATGGAACTCCTGCCATAAAAAATTGATGAGAACACACACACATACACACACGCACACGCACACTAATACACTGCTCCATCCGTCCCTAAATATCTGTCGCTGTTGGAGTGCGTGTCACAAGTTTAACATGATTTGTAGAAAATACGTGCAACATTTGTATCTTAAAATAAATTTATTAAAATACTAGATTCAAATATCTTTCAAATGATACTAATTATATACCATAAATATTAATATTTTTTAATATATATTTAGTCAAAGTTGTTTCTCGGGAAGCGAAAACGACAGATATTTAGGGACAGTCCCTAAATGTTTGTCGCCACAATTTGCATACCGATAACTTTGACTTGATTTATAGAAAATACGTGCAACATTTCTATCTCCAAATAAATTTATTAAAAAATTAGATTCAACTATCTATCCAATGATACTAATTGTATATCATAAATATTAATATCTTTTAATATATTTAGTCAAAGTTGTTTCTCGAAAAACAAAAACGACAGACATTTAGGGACGGAGGAAGTATGTATCTTCTTGCATTGATACTATGCCAATAAGAAAAACAGAACGAGATTAATTGACTGTACAAGAAACTCCCCTCTGGCAGGTTGCGAATTACTCTTAGCGCAGCTCATTCCTTAGATGACATCAAAAGGCTCGCTGATGCGCTCACTCCCTGGCTCCACATCAAACCTGCTGAGCTGAGTAGAGCTTATTCAGCTTCAAGACTATAAGCATTGTACTATGCCCAGAAGCAATTTCCGATATCAGATTGTACCAGCCCAACATATGTTTTGTGTAATTTAAACTGTGTGCACTCGTTATTGTATAATTTTCAATAATCTTGTTCCATAAAGTATGTAACTTGTTTTGATGCCTCTTTTTTCAAACAATATATGTAACGCTATTCTAAATTACTCCTATTCTCATATCATTATATTATTCGGGACACTAATATATGGTTCAAACATATTGGACGATGCATATTAAATTAGTTGTGCGAGAACATTGGACAAAACGATATGATAATTAGTGACACCTTGGCAATACGTTTCTTATAATATATATTTGTATATATGTGCCATCAATTGGTCTCCAATAATAGTCTCTCTGCAAAATCCTTATGTTAGATATTGTTATTATCGAATCCCTTTGGATTTGAGGGCTCCCCTACTTTAAGAGCAGCATTTTTTTCTGGGCCCAACTTCAACAGCGACTCTCAAATTAGAGCCCCTACTTTAGAACCCACTTGTTAGTCATATTTCTGTTATTTTTTCTATGCGCACATCTGCCTCCTTCCCGATGCACACGATCGTGCGATGGCTCTCGGCCATCGTGGAGATGGGTGGGAGGGGAGGAGCTCTTTCCCAATGCACATTGCCATGTGTGGCTCTCGACCGTCGAGAGTTGGGAGGGAGGCGAGGAACCCAGGGCGAAAGAGCCTCTCATCGTGAGGGTTGGGCTGGAGGGGAGGAGCTCCTTTCAGTGCACACGACTGTGTGGCTCTCGGCCTTCGAAGAGCCAGCCATGGAGGACCTCCTCCCGGGCCTCTCGTCGGGAGGGCTTCGGGTAGTATGGGCTTCCGCCGAGCAAGGGCGCCGCTTGCGCAGCCGCTGCACCGGGAGGGCTCGTTTTTGTAACTGAAAATAGATGCAGGCATCTTCTAAGATGTGGATTTCTTGTCCATCCAATCCGGCCACACGTAGTGCCACCCAACTCTGGTTCCAAACTGCCTTTAATTTTCTTCTTGGGTGTCAAACGCAGATCATACTAACAATAAGAGAAACAGAACATATTTCTATTGCAAAACATACGGACTCTATTCTAAGAATGAAAAGAGAAGGACGAATCCTAATCCTAGTCCATTTGTACGTGGGCTCTTACCAAACTCTTAGACCTTGGCAATACTATGTATACGTGGGAGCTTTATGTTGTAATCATCAATATTCAGACGAATAAAGAATAATCTCCCTATCTCTTGTATATATGTGTTTTACTTTCATCTACTATTTTGATCATGAGAGACGGAGAGGGGAAGGTCCTAACCGCTAACAACATATTTTATAACACGTTATCAGCATGAGAAGCTCTACGTCGACATCGCCGTTGAAGCTGCCACCGATCTTCGACGCCGACCCTTGTGCCGACATCTCGCGGCGACTACTTCGACGACGTCGACATCTCCGACGTTGTTAGCGGAACGGATCTGATACCTCTACCTGCTGCTGATATGAACTGCATTAGACATGCACCATCGTTGTCAAGCAGGCAAATGTACGACAATGCTAAACGCCCTACGCGGTATATATTTACTAATTGCTGCCCTACACGGCATGTGACGTCGATCAAATTGGCATCCTGTGCAAGGTATGAAACACGTCTTGCAGATTGTTTGTGCTGGCCATCGAGCTGGTCTATATACTCTATGCACGTAGAATTGTATATGAAGTGCATATACTCGAAGTATATACATACAGTAATTGAATCTACATGAGTTGAATCTGTGAAAGTATACGGTAATATCTGCGTATTTATTATTGGCTTGCATGCCAGTATGCACCAGACCACGAGTCCACTTGGAGTATATGCACTGGCGCCCCGGCTAGACCAGAAGTACGGTGGCCATCAGCCCATCACGAACTGCAGATTGTGTGCCACCCACCGCAGGTGCTATCCAGACAGGTCGCTTCCTCGGGGCTGGTAGTCCTCCTCGCTCTGTATAGGCCGGATCGAAGTCGCCGTCAGGCGGCCTGCACGCCGCTAGTATCTCCCTGTGTACGCTCGTACA